ATATTTTTGAATAAATATTTTGATCTATATCTTCATTTACTAATACATTTTGATTCCTACATGTAGATAGAAGGAAAGGAAGAAGAGATAGGCGAGAGGAGAGAAAGATCGCCTACCTAGCTTATTTAAGCCACTTTGGTCAGAGAAAATCCATTAGATTTTTTGTATTTTTAAGAAATGAGTTTATTCATAGTGGTTTTAAGCCATTGAATAATTAAAGGAGGCGAGATCGAAGAAAAAAAATCGATTTGATTATGTTTTTTTGTGTATATTAAAATGATTTTAAGACTTTAAATGTATTTATTGACCTTATTTTGATCATTTAAAGGTGTTTGAAAAAAAATAATGTCAAAATTGAATTTCTAGAGGTCTGAAACTTGACTTCGATTTTTCGACGAAGCTTCTGATGACCTTGACTTCCTCTAAAGTTATAAATTTTTATTCTTTTATTTATTGGCTAGCAGCCCATCCTTGGAGAAGCAGGCCCGAGCTGCCCTAGTGCGCAGGCCTGAGCAACATTGGCCTAGCGCTCAGGCTTGCACATGCAAGCCTCAGCTCGCTAAGGGCCAAACTGGCCTCTCGCATGAGCTTGCACAAGCAGCCCAAGCGTACAAGCTTGGCTTTTTTTTTCTTCTAATAATTAATTTTTATATTTTTTTTATCATGGAATTAGGTGTGAAAGATATAACGAATAGATTTTTATTTTTTTCAGTTTTACGTATAGTTTGACGATGAAATGATATATATGATTTTTTATATATTTTTTTATTTGAACATGTATATCTAATTATATTACTTCTATTATTTAAAAGTTATTTCTTAAATTATATGTTTCTTATTAAAATTCTCATCAAATTAATTTTTTGATATAATTTTATTTGTTAATAAATTTGGTTTTTTATATATGGATTTTGAAATAAAATTTTAGAACTTGAGTGTTTTATTTTTTAAAATATATTATTATAATTCATACGATATATTATTTTTAAATGAAAATAATATAGTTGCGCATATACATATATACATATATATATATATATATATATATATATATATATATATATATATATATATATAAAATTAGAATTTATCAAAAACCAATATTTTTGTAGTTTTGAGAGAAAGCAAGAGAGCTAAAAGTGTATTTTTAATCATTTGACTAAATTTTTTAAAAAATAATAATCGGTTAAAAAAATTCACCTGTTTTATTTGCTTTTATATATATATATGATTAAAAGTTATCGGAACCAATTTTGTAATAGTTTTTATTTTAATCTATTCACTTCGATATATTTCATACAAGTTAGGTGGGTATATATATGAATCATTAGTTTTGTTATAAATTAATCTACTAATTTTAATATATTTCATATAATTTAAGTGGGTATCTATATACATGAATCGTTACTTTTGTTAGAAATTAATTATTTATTTGCACACATAACACCAACTATTGATTTTTATTTTTTTTTCATGTTCTAAAATATGTATTTCTAAATAAAATAATTTAAATAATGTTTTGAAAGAACATTCCAATTATTCAAATACAAATTTTTATGCTAATATTATTAATTATTTTGTTAATAAATACATATAAATTTGCTCAATATATAGATTCAATTTATTTTAATCACTAGAAACAAGATTTTTACTCGAACCACATCATACAAATTGTTCACCCTACATATGTGATGGTTGTCTAATCATAGCATAACGCGCGAATCTAATAAGTAAATAATAAAAGATATATGGTTCACCATAGCTAAACCTTGCTACGGAGAACGACGATGTTTTTAGCTTTTTTCCTTAGAACAATGTTGTTTTATGAGGAAAAAAGAAAATAAAAAAGTAATTTTTTCAATTTATCCAATTGTTTACAGTTTAGTCCCTCGTGTTATTATTGTATATAAGCCAATTCCTATTTTTAATTATCATACAAACAAGTCACAATATTTTTGTTTAGGTCGGGCTCCCAACCCAAATGCATGGGCCTCGATTTTCTCTCTTTTTTATGCTTTTATTTTTCCATTATTTATTATTTACTCAAAATATTTTTTTCCATAATTAATTATTACTTTTTTTATTTTTTTTAAAAACTCGTTAACTAAAATTAAATATTTTCCTAATGTAAATTGACTAAGCACCTTCATCTAGTACGAGTTTGCGACTTATCCTAAGAGTAAATTATAAATTAGTCCCTTTCTTAAGAAAAATAATTAATTAGTCCTCATTTTAAAAACTAATTATTTAATATTTAATATTTAAATTTCATCAATAATTTAGTCATTTCATTATTTTTATGCTAGATTAGTGATTTTCTCAAATTATTCTTCTTTTTATGTCGTTTCTCTCTTTCACCTATACTCTTTTTTTCTCCTTAATAAAAAATCAAAAGAAATATAATTTAGAAACAAAATTGCTAATCTAAAGGAAAACTAATAAAAGGACTCGAGTTATTGATAGAATTATTAAAACATGAAAGATTAAATGATTAGTTTTTGGATATGGGGCTTATTAAATTTGGTAAATACTCTGCAAGTGGACACACTAACCGTGACTTTTTTCTACATACAAATACTTTTAATAAAAAAATTAAACAAAATTATGACATGAAAAAATAATCTTTCTTCTGAAAAATCCATAGATGGAAATTTTAACTTACCGCTTTAATTTTAAGACTAAATTTTTTCACCTCAAATTTGGTGAACATTTTAGGCAGACTTAATGATTTCTAGATCTTTCACCTTAAAATGGATGAAAATTTTAATCTACTGCCTTAATTTTTTGCCTAAAATCTTATATGGACTTTATATTACATGCTGAAATTTTGAGGGTAAAATATTTCTATTATTATGTTGATTTTTTATAATTTTTTTAAATTTGATTGTTAATTAAATACTTAATGATTTTTTTCTTTAATTTACCATCTTAATTTTGGATATATTTTCTCCTTTAATTAATATTTGTTCCATGTAAGGTAAGATCAAATTTTATAAATAATTTGAAGGAAAAAATAGAATATTTTAGAAAAGTACGAATACAAAATATCAATACAACATAGTTGCTCAACTCTATCTCTAAAAGGGCTTAAGCACTCTACTCGCCGCCTATTCCACTCATTAAACATTATATATAAAACCATAGTAAAACATAAGTTTTACTATTTATTCACTATTTGAAATATTATTCACACACTCACAAATTACTATTCTTTTCACTATTCATGTTATTTTTTTAGCACTTTAGTCGTCAAGTTTTCACGTACTTTTTTTTTCAATTTCAAACTTTAATTGCATTGTGATTTCTCTCCCATTTAATTTTAGTTTTTTTAATTATTTTTATTTTTAAAGTTTATTATTTTAATTTATCATTTTTTTAATTTAGTCATACGTTATTAATATTGTGATCATATTATAATAATATTATTTTTCCACGCTAAGCATTAACTATTTATTTATTTTTTAATTAAATAATTAAAATAATAATATGGCTTAACCACTCAATGATTCAAATTAATATATTTTTTATTTTAATATTATTCATTCTTTTGTAAATAAATATATAAAAATTAAATTCATATTTTTTCGAAAATCGTATTCTCATCAACATTAAATAAAAAAAATTATTTGTTCAATTCTATGTAAGCTTTTAATAATTGTTATCTATGTTTTTTGACATAATCTTATGAAATACTAAAGCTTTTTTAAAAAATTTATTTATTTTTTTTTAGTTAATAATCCATGGATTAATAAGGATAAATCTTTTTTCTAAAGAAAAAAATATGAAAAACACAAATAAGAAATAGTTAAATACAAAATTTTTTATTAAAAAATTATAAATAATGTTTTTCATATTTGATTTTATAGATTCACACTATAAAACAAACTATCAAACTAAAATAATTTGTCTAAACGATTTTATATATTTTATCCAACTCGCAAGTATAACGCGGATAAACAAACTAGTTATCACTCAATGACGAAGCCAAGAGCAGAAGGAGGGACTTGAATAATTAGTCATTTTTAAAACGGATGTGAAAAGTCAAAGAGAACAATCTCTTTGAAATAGAGAAATCGTTCTCTTTAAAATAGAGGAAGTATTATATATCATGTAATTAATCCAGTGATAATTTAATAGATGTTAATGGAAGAAGCTTGATTAAGGATACAATGATAGTAACAAAAATTCCAACTATTAATCGAATAAGAGAATAAGAGTTAATGCATAAAATTAGTCAAAATTAAAAATTTAGAGGGATGGAGTAAATTATAAATTAGTCTCTTTCGTTTAGAAAAAAAAAATTAATTACTAAGTATTTAATTCTCTATGCTTTAATCTGTCAATAGTTTATTCATTTTATTAGTTTTTTATTAGATTATCTGTTTTATTTTTGTTTCATTGATTTGTAGATGAGGAGAGAGAAATACAATGAGTGCAGGGAATAAATAAGACATAAAAAAATTATTTGAGAAAAAATTAATAATTTAATAAAAAATTGATAAAAAAATTAAGTTATTGATGAAATTAAAACATAAGAAGCTAAATAATTAATTTTTAATAAGAAGCTAAATAATTAATTTTTAAAAAGAGAAGAACTAATTAGTTAATTCGTTTTTTTAAAATAAGAGGGACTAATTTATAATTTACTCTATCTGGGCCAGAAAACTAGAAACATCAGAACTCCAATAAACTTACCCAACTTTGACCGAGCCCAACTCTAGCATCTCCTTAGAAAGACCAGGAATCTCTAGAAAGAGAAGGAAACCAAAATAACAATAAAGAAAGGAGAGCATGAAGTCCTTGATTACGTAATTTGCTAGAAGGCTTGACACGTCTACGCTATGCAGTCAATAGGACAACACTAGAAAACCGGCCACATCAAGTCATTTTGTACTACAAATACTCGCATTTTCCACTTCTGGCAGGACACAACCTCTGTAGTCCAGGAAAACAGAGAAAAAAATACTTCTAATTCAAGCATCTTCTTTTTCACTTCAAGAATGGCTGGTGATCAAGTGACCCTGTTGGATTTCTGGGCCAGTCCATTTGGTATGAGAGTGAGAATAGCTTTGGCTGAAAAGGGTGTAAAGTATGAGTACAGTGAACAAGATTTGAGGAACAAAAGTGCTTTGCTTCTTCAAATGAATCCTGTTCACAAGAAAATCCCCGTTCTTGTCCATAATGGGAAACCTGTCTGTGAGTCGCTTATCATTGTGCAGTATATTGATGAGGTGTGGAAGGATAAGGCTCCTTTGTTGCCTTCTGATCCTTACCAGAGAGCTCAGTCTAGGTTCTGGGCTGATTTTGTTGACAAGAAGGTATGACTTCTTCTTCTTCTTTTTTTTCTGTGTTGGTTTTGTTTTTCAGGTATGACATGATTTAACCCACACATCCAATTAGATACGTTTGAAAGAATTTGAATTATATATGACCAAAATTTAAAATTCAAAAACACTTGAGGGATTACTAGTACAATTAGCACTGAGAATAATATCAAACTTACATATTGAATGGTGGAAAGTCTGTTTGATGTTCATTTCAAGTGTTGTTGACTGTGATTTTATTGTAGATGTTGATAACAAATTGGTCATTAAGGTTTCTAATTATTTCGTCCTTTTATGAACTATATTTTCATTCTTGTGAGTTCATGAGAATTAGAGGTTGGCAGGATGTTTCTCAATAAAGATCACCAAATGGGTGGTTCCAGCTGCTTTAAGATATAACAAGAAGGCTTGCAAAATGTCCTTTTTTATGCATTGAAGATAGGATTTTGGATTTAGGTGGTGATACTTTGATAAATATTGGTAGAGGAGTTATGGAAGTAAAGATTATTGATTTATTGGTGTTTAGTCACCCTCAAGTGTCCAAAAATATATCATTGATAGTGACAACATTGAGGTTTTCTTATTGATGGACTTTGCTAGCTTGATTGGAAAAAAAAAAAAAAGAAGGCATAATTGTGGTGATGAGCCTTCTTGGTAATTCGTTTTCTTTTCCTCAAACTAGCCTTGTTTAATTGGTTGGTTTGTGCTCTGAAAGATATGATCTATTTTTTATCAGTCACTTTCAACGTAGAAAATTAAAAGATGTTAGACGGCATCTTAGATGCCAAATTAGCGGTCTTCGAATTTCCACCTTCTGTAACAGTGATTGGTTTAGCTTTTCTGAATTTGCTTTACTGTTTAGAAAGAAATTAATTACTGTAGTTAACAAGGAAGTTTTAGTGAAGACTTTGTTCTTCCTTTGTGATTCCAAGAAGTCTATGTTTGGTTACCTTCGATAATGATTTGTTTTACAATGGTGGGACATGAATCTGCAGATATATGATCTTAGTAGGAAGATATGGACAACAAAAGGAGAAGATCTGGAGGCAGCCAAGAAGGATTTCATTGACTGCCTCAAGTTGTTAGAAGGAGAGCTTGGAGACAAGCCTTACTTTGGAGGCGAGACCATCGGCTACGTTGATATAGCATTCGTCCCTTTCTATGTCTGGTTTCATGCCTATGAGACTGTCGGCAACTTCAAAGTAGAGGCCGAGTGTCCCAAGCTGATTGCTTACTGTAAGAGGTGCTTGCAAAAAGAGAGTGTATCCAAGTCTCTTCAAGATCCACAGAAAGTCTATGATTTCGTTGTGATGCTGAGGAAGAACTTTGGAATCGAGTAATGTGCATCCATAGCCAAGCAAGTGCGATTTCATGTTAACAGTTGCTGTACTTGTGTTCTGTGTGATTTATGTTTTAAATAAAGAAGGCACTACCTGTACCGTATCTTATAGTTTGAGAGGGCGCTTAACTTCATGTGCTGGACTTAGGTTGTGGTTTGTTCTTCCTGTACGTCTGATGTTTGTTTGCCAGACGGGTCTCCTCTTTGTGGCCCCTTAGTTACTTAATCAATCAAAACTCGCTTTAATTTTGTGGACAAGGAGGTTTGTCTTTTTTGTAAATTACAGAGGGCTCATCTTTTTATGCTGTCTTTGATTTTCTGTGTTGCATTTGTCTCAGGCAGGACCTGATCACGCTCACATTGAAACACCTGTGTTTGAGATTCTACGCCCTCTAACAGTGATTGGGTTTGCAGACAGAAATTAATTACCGTAAGGAATTTTCAATGAGGACTTTTGGTTTTTTTTTACTACTTTTGACCTTTCTGATCCCCAAAAGTCGATAATAGGTAGAGTAGATTGTTTTCACCATCAATAATTCTGCACTATTGGTAATTTGCTGTACAATGGTGTGAATGATTTTATATTTTTTTCTAACATTTTTTAGACTATTATTAGGAATGGTAACAGATAAATAATTGATCTATTAATTTAATTTTTTACAATATTTATGAAAAAATTAGCCAATTTAAACCATTTGGACCAAATAGCATTAAGTTTTTTTTGTAAGTCCACAACGACAGAACACAACCTTTGTAGTCCAAGAAAACAAAGACAAAATACTTTCATTTCAAGCATCGTCTTTTTCACTTCAAGAATGGCTGATGATCAAGCGACCCTGTTGGATTTCTGGGCCAGTCCATTTGGTATGAGAGTGAGAATAGCCTTGGCTGAAAAGGATGTAAAGTATGAGTACAGTGAACAAGATATGAGGACCAAAAGTGCTTTGCTTCTTCAAATGAATCCTGTTCACAAAAAAATCCCAGTTCTTGTCCATAATGGGAAGCCTGTCTGTGAGTCGCTTATTATTGTGCAGTATATTGATGAGGTGTGGAAGGATAAGGCTCCTTTGTTGCCTTCTGATCCCTACCAGAGAGCTCAGTCTAAGTTCTGGGCTGATTTTGTTGACAAGAAGGTATGACTTTTTTATTTTTGATTTTCTGTGTTGATTTTGTTTTTCAGGTATGACATGATTAAACCCACACATCCAGTTAGATCCGTTTGAAAGAATTTGAATTCTATATGACCAAAATTAAAATTCAAAAACACTTGAGGGATTACTAGTACAATTAGCACTGAGAATAATATCAAACTTATATAAAATGGTGGAAAGTCTGTTTGCTGTTCATTTCAAGTGTTATTGACTGTGAATTTTTTATTGTTGATGTTGATAACAAATTGGTCATTAAGGTTTCTAATTATTTCGTCCTTTTATGAACTATATTTTCATTCTTGTGAGTTCATGAGAATTAGAGGTTGGCAGGATGTTTCTCTATAAAGATTGCCAAATGGTTGGTTCCGAGAAGTCTATGTTTGGTTACCATCTATTATGATTTGTTTTACAATGGTGGGATACGAATCTGCAGATACATGAGCTTTGTAGGAAGATATGGGCAAAAAAAGGAGAAGATCTGGAGGCAGCCAAGAAGGATTTCATTGACTGCCTCAAGTTGTTAGAAGGAGAGCTTGGAGACAAGCCTTACTTTGGAGGCGAGACCATCGGCTACGTTGATATAGCATTCGTCCCTTTCTATGTCTGGTTTCATGCCTATGAGACTGTCGGCAACTTCAACGTAGAGGCCGAGTGTCCCAAGTTGATTGCTTACTGTAAGAGGTGCTTGCAAAAAGAGAGCGTATCCAAGTCTCTTCCAGATCCACAGAAAGTCTATAATTTCGCTGTGAAGCTGAGGAAGAGATTTGGCATTGACTAATGTGCATCCATAGCCAAGCAAGTGCGATTTCATGTCAACAGTTGCTGTACTTGTGTTCTGTGTGATTTATGTTTTAAATAAGGAGGGCACTGCCTGCACTCTGTCTTCTTATAGCTTGAGAGGGCACTTAGGTGTGCCGGACTTAGGTTGTGGTTTTTCTTCCTGTACGTGTGATCTTTGTAGCCCCTTAGTTACTTCTTGTAACAGGTTGTGATAATCGATAAATATACATATTTATAATGAAGTTTGTGTCCAAATCTAGCCAGCTGAGTAAAATTGAACTTTCTGCATTTGTTTTTTTCACCTTTTCCTCGTAGCTGCATTCATGATCATAGGTTCTGCAAATGAACAGGCTATGACCTATCGTGCCTTGTATATTTTGCTTTTGAGCTTGCACTTCAAGGCACTGCAGAGATTAGGGTAAACTGTCTTTTTCCAAATTTCTACCTAAAATCTTTGGATTTCTGCTATCTATCCTTCTTTTCCTTTCAGCAAGTTTTGCATGTTAATTATCGAAGGAAGAAGGGAAAAACGAGCTAAGACTGGAAGTTTTTCGAATGATAAAACCGGGATAGAGCACAACACAAAAATAGCAGTAACAAAAACCAAAAGGAGTAGTAAAAATTCAAATATTTGGAATCAGCCCGCCGCTGACATAAAAAAACGTTTCCTTTCTTTCTCTTCAAAAAACAAAAAAAATGCTTCCAATTCCTTCTCCTGTTGAATGCACAGTCGCTTCTGCTCTTCTCCTTCTCTCTAACACCACACCTCTCTCTCCTCCTCCTTTAATGTAATTACTTAATCAATCAAAACTCGCTTTAATTTTGTTGACAAGAAGGTTTCTCTTTTTTGTAAATTATAAAGGGTTCATCTTTTTATGTCTTTGATTTTCTGTGTTGTGTATTTGTCTGGAGGTATGACCTGATTACAATCACATTGAAATGCATGTGTTTGAAATTCTACATCCTCTAACAGTGATTGGGTTTGTAGACAGAAATTAATTACTGTGAGGAATTTTATGAAGACTTTGGGTTCTTTTTAATTACTTTTGACCTTCCTGATCCCCAAAAGTCCACAATAGGTAGTGTAGATTCTTTTCGCCATTAATAATTAACAAAGAAACTAAAGTAAAACGAACTTGTACTGTAGTGATACTATTTAAAACCCTGTTCATTGTGAGATGAAACACCGTGGACTTAGACTCTAAATTACTGTTACTTTAACTGTTCATCATCATCTCTTATTTCTTTGTATTTTCTTCTCGCTGGTTTTGGATTTCTCATTGTTGCTTCTCGGCGTTTGGTCATTTCTTCTCATTTCTTCCTTCCTCTTTGCTTGCCCTTTTTCTCGCCCTTCTCGCTTCTCGATTGCTTCTCTTTTGTTCCTTAATTTCTCAATTTATCTTCTTCTTGTCCTGCTCTCTGCCTGTTGGCTCATTTAATTCTCTGTGATGCTCTGTTTTGTGTTTCTGTTTTTGGTCGTTTGTAATGCTCTGTTTTATCTCTCTCTTTTTTACGGTTTTAATGATTGTTTTCGTCTCTGTCTCTTTTGTCCCTCATGGGTTTTGTTGTTTAAGTCTCTTTAATGGCTTTCTTGGTATTTCCTTTTTTCTTTCCCTGTCTCATTTAATGCTTCTTTCTTCCACTCACTCCCTTTCAATCACATCTCTCTCTCTCTTTTCGTAGGCGGCTGTTCCCCTCTCTCTTTCTTTTGGTCGTCGGTGCTGATTGTGTAGAGAACCTTTTTGTTCGATTAGGGTCCACCGGTTCACTTCCAATTTCACATTTCCCTTCTAATTCCTTATTTGCTTATTCTGATAGTTTGGTATCCCGTTTTTTTCTTGCTTTAAACTAAAAGAAGTGAGGTGTTCACTGTTGATTTACTGTCGCTGCACACTCCGTTTGCCTGTTCATCATTTTCTCTGCTTTGTTTATTGGTTTCTCTGCTTTGTTTTTTCGTTTAAGTTCTTTACTGTACAAAAGCAATTGTTTTGTATCTTTTTTTGTTTCAGCCGTCCGATCTAACTTAATTGCTTTGAAACCGTCCGATCAAACATGGTTTTAAGATCATCGGCACTGTGCTGTCTCTTCATCCGTTTGATCTTGGTTTTTTCTTCTTCACCGTTTGATTTCCTTTATTAGATAGATATGGTGTAATCTCCATCACCAATAACTAAATGCCACGTGTTCAACCTTATCTCTTAAAATCTAATCTTATCTCTAGCATATTAAAAAACACTCAATTAGTGCGTCTGTGAGATAGAGAAAAGGTAGAAGGGGGAGAGAAAGGGTCAAGGTGGGCGACAAAGTGGATCTGGAAAGCTGTGGCAGTTGCAGAGGAAGCTGGAGGAGAAAACTTGAGATATCACATTCTTCCCTCATCACCCCTCACTCCCGATACCTCTCTTTCCCTAACTGATTCCTCTCATGGTAGTTTCTTTTTCTTTTCCCTTTTCTTCTGTTTGCTTTTTTTTTATTCTGTCAAGTGAGAACTTCAAATAATCATTCTCGGACATTGTTGCATGTCAAGGTGGAAGTATCTAACTTTTAGCTGCTAAACGAGTGCAGGATATGCAAGGTTGCAGATAAAATTACTCAGTTGGCAGGAAATTTTTCATGTACCTGGAAATTGCATGGTGATGTTAAGGTGAGCCTCTTCAAACTTCATCACTCTCTATTGCATCTTTTTCATTATTACTTAAAATACTTTGGTGCAGAGAAAGAGAGGGAGAAGGAGAGGGCTCTCAAATGCTACCAGAGGGCTGTCTCCCTCAGTCCCGATGATTCTGAAAGTGGAGATGCAATTTATGAAATTTTAGACCATTCCGGAAAGGAGACTCTGCAACTCTCTCTTTGCTCTGAAGCCTCTCAAAAATCACCCAGAGCCTTTTGGGCTTTCAGGAGATTGGGGTACCTTCACCTCCACCATAACAGATGCTCTGAAGTTGTTCAAACTCTTCAGCATGCCATTCGAGATTTTCCTACCTCTCCTGATTCATGGCAAGTATGTTCCTCTTCCACACCCTTTCTTACATTATTGTTTTTTTTTCCTGCCTTTCCTTATTGCTATATATTAATCTTTCAGATTCTTTCTATATAGGCTTTCGGTCTTGCCTACCAGAATCTTTCCATACTTTCTGCTGCTCCTAAGGTGCACTTCCTTTCTCTGACTGCTTTACTCTCTTGGGGATTTTTGTTGTCAAATTAGTAATGCCTTTAATCATCGACTGTCCAACTTATTACAAACATGTTAACCAGTGCTATGGATGAGCCATTGAGTTGGAGGATACAAGCATTTTTGCTCTCATTCAAAGTGCAAAATATCTTCTTGGTGCTCGGTAATTTCTGAGAGGTATTCTTTCTTTTTTTAATTTTCCACAGTTGGACAACTGAGGATTTTTATATTTACAGCGCTTGGTAATTCATATTCATATAATGTACCTTAAGCTGTAGCATGGACACACATAGGCCTTTCAAATTGATGGCTTATGACATCTTTTATTAGAATGGAATGACTTGAGACTTTTTAACTGACAAATTTATAAAAAGTACTCTTTGACTTCTTTTTCACTTTAATTTCATCTATCAGTGTTTCTTTTATCGAAATATCAATATGAGATTAATTTGGTTTCATTAGTTTTTTGAAAAAAATAAAATTTTGGTGGAGCAGGCCGTAGATGATTCGATCTTGCAAACTCAGTGATTTTGTAAAAATATTAGATGAAATCTCTCATATCCCATATATCTAAATTTGGATTTTCAAGTTAAGAAATAAGACTCTCAAATCAAAACACTTAAAATGAAATAAGATTAAATTTAAAAATATGAAAATATTGTTTTTATTTGTGTAGTTTAAAATCTACGAAAATTTTATTTACAAGCATCATTTAAATTGTAAAATAAGATACATAGTTGAATTAACATGATATGTTTTATGTATTATAGGCTACTGCTGACTTGAGGTCATTGGAAGGCTACACATCTTAAACGATTCTACAAGCAGTAAGTATATTTATGTTTGCAGTTATGTTGAATAATTACTATCTATTAATTAATACTCTCTGTCTATGTTAACATGCTTTATGATATGATATTGAATAATTACTTTTGTAATAAATTTCCTATTTTAAAGTTAAAAGATCTTTTTAGATAGAAGCAGCCTGAAGTCTGAGCCAGATGGGGTTTCGATTTGGGTGGCTCTGAAGAGGGTTTTTATATGTGGGTATGTTGCTCATTTAACATTTACATAATTTTGTATATATTGGTGATCATAGTGTTTCCGTGAATTTTATCTCTTCTTCAAGCAACTACATTTTATTGCTATATTAATGATTTTTGAAGAGTGACTTTGTGGTAATTAATTAACTGGTGCCCTGCCTCTCTGCCTATCTGTCTGTGTGTACCAACTTTTCAGAAACTCCCTGGGTAAGTTTCTTGGCCTTCTGTTTTTCTCATTTTTCTTGGTTTTTTTTAAAATGGGATCATCCTAGAAGAAAATTGGAGCTCACTTTGATTTTTTGTAACTATTGTTGGTAAAATTGTGAGTTTCCTTTTTGTTATTTTTTTAGTTTATTGCATATTGCTTGACTACCTATCTTTTTTGAAGTTGATTTCTTTATCAGATATATTATTGTTTAACACTGATGTCAATTTCTTTATCAGACTATCTGTTTTCTCTTACTATTGTTTTTTTCCACAATGTAATGAAATGCCATTACAGATTTGTTGGAATATAAGAGACTTGGTTCTAATGGAGCCTTCATATAGGTTTTTTTGCGCAAGTCAATGCAGCAGAGAGAACAAACCATTTTATTTCTTACTTGCGGTGTATGGTAAGTATGGTTTAACTTGCATATATATATATATATATATATACACACACACACACACACACACGCACACATATATAGACAATGTGTATGGTTTATAAACAAGTATTTTATGAAAAAAACATATGGTGTCAATATATATCATTAGTTTACAAGGGCTGCTTTGTTTATCGATTTGTCTTCACATACATATTTTATTGAGATATTTAACTCCTTCGAGGATAAAGCAACATTAAACCCCACGTACTGGTGATACATTATAGTTTTATGCATAAACTCATCAAGGGACCTAATGTTGTTTTATTGATTATAGGTTGGAGTGAGGATTAAGGTGGTGTCAAGTACACTTGGCAGTGTTGTGATGGCTAAAGCACGGCAAAACGAGGCCAACTGGGTTGTCCTGGACAAGTAATTACACATAAGAAAAGAATTTTCTTATTTCTAAGCTACTAATATAGTAATTGGTTTGTCAGTATTTAGTCGTATGCTCTTCTGTTTCCTTTGGTCAGCAGAATTAATTTTAGCTATGCTTCATAGAATTCTATTGAAGTTAAAGATAACCAATCATTGTTAGATTATGTTTGGTAAATGACACTACTAGGCAATTTTATCCTTGGGTTCCTGGCTAATCCCACTTAAATTGGTTGGTTTTGTTTTTTCAATCCTATTCCTATGCTATTGAACATCACAGTCATGTCCTCATGATGCTTGATTGATATTTGCTCTTGGAAAATGATAGAAGTTTGGATGCTAAATGATACTATTATTGCTATTGATCTGAATGCTGGTAGAAATTCGAATCATTTCCAACTGTATATTGATAAAATAAATGTGTTGTGTTTTTATTTGGCATATGGTAACAGTGAAGAAAAGTTTTAAATACCAAGAACTTTTATAACCTCCAATTTACAGAAATTTTCATCTTTTGGTTAACTTGGGACTACATGCTTGATGAGTTTCAGTTGTGTTATTAACATGCTGCTAGCATTGCATCTTGACAGACATGTAAACTTTTGTTTTGCTAAATTTTGTGGTTTAACTGCTCACGTAAAATTAGTGGTTTTGTCAACCACAATGATAATCATAACTATATATAATAAACCAATAATGTTTCGTTATTCACTTCTTACCACACTAAGACTTAACATTAAAGCTTCGTTATTATCATGTCTTATTCTGCTAATATAGAAAACTCAAGCAAGAGCTTAAGCATTGCATAGAGGAACTTCGCTGCAACATTACTGTAATGAAAGGTTCTCAAGCAAAAGTTCTTAGGCTTAACTTGGGATGCTCGAATGAAGTCCAAGCCCCATTCTATTCTGCTGCTGCTTCACCAGAAAAGGATGTTGGAAGGCTGCTAGGTCACAAGATGAAGCATTCTACTCCTGTGAGAAGCAGCCCTGAAGAACCAAGTACTTCCTACTCAAGAACTAGAGAAGGTTCATCCTCACCAAGCTATGATACAGAAAGACCTCTTTTTCTTGGGTGTTCTAAATAATCAAGCATTGGTTATATTTCTTTTACACAAGTAGCATGCATTTTTCTGAATAGATATTAATTAATTCTTGGATATTCTACAATAAACTTCTGTATGGTCGAGTTATGTTTTTGTCAAAATAAGGTGGGTGGAATATGAATCTAGACTTGCAAAGTACAATTGTTTCTTTTGATGAGGAAAAAAAGGTACAATTATTTCCATCTATATATTTTTATTTATCCATTTTGCACTTTTGTTTTGCTTGAGTTTTCTCTTGCAGACAAAGATTCTGGTGTGGGGGGCAGCCATTGAACATATATTGAATATTGAAAAAATAAGATAATGCCATAAAAATTATTTTACAAATAAATTTTTTATAATTATATGTCCTAACATATCTATATATATTTACGCATACTAATAAAATTATAATTATTTAAGACAATGTTTGTCAAATAAGCTATATTGATATTGTACATATAAGTACGTTAAAAAAGAAGGTAATTAAAATAAGTGACGTTCTATTTACTTTTAGCAAATTTCCTAGCGTTAACAATAAGTTCTTTTTATGCTTTCTTAATGATGGTGAACATGCATATTAACATAGCACGCCAAAATGGTGGACCGACCAACAATTACGAATCGAAAAAAGTTCTCTCAAAATAATTATATAAAGTTTTTTTATTTTGAATTTAATATATTTTGGTTGGTCAATAACTTAATAAATATTATCAAATTAAATAAATATATTTAATTCAGTATGTTATATAGAGCTGGAAGTAAAGTTTTTTCTTAAAAAAAAATTAAAAGAATTGAGATATTTACTATTATTTTTTGTCATTTTAGACTTAAATTCATTATTTATTGTTACTTGATTTTTTGCTTCTTAATTTTTCGTTAATTTCTTTTTCGTCATTCAAATGGATTTGAAAAACTCTATTTTTATCTGATTTTCTTTTTTATTTTCTTTTTAGGCTTTTTTTTTTATCATTTCTTTTGTTGAGCTTTTAAAGGTTCTGTCTTCTTTTAATGTTTTTTTTTTTGTTCTTATTTTTCATAAGGGAAGCCAAAGTCACTTGCTATTCAAGAGTAAATTATAAATTAGTCTCTCTTTCTTTGAGAAACAAATTAGTTAGTCCTTTTGGTTGAAAAAACTATTTTTTTATCCTTTTTAATTTATTTTTATTTTTTGTTTTAAGAAATAGAGAAAGAATAAAAGAATAAGCAAAAAAATGAAAAAATATATTTTATAAAATAAAAAATACATTAATTATAGACAAAATTGATTAAAAATATTAAAAAATTATTTTTAAAACCAAAAGAATTAATTTATTAATTTATTTCTCAAAATAAGATGAACTAATTTATAATTTAATTTGTAATTCAAGAATCTCTTTCATCGTAAATTAAGAAGTAAAATTTATAAGAACTAATTTTATAGTAGTTTTTATTTTGATTTATTGACTTTAATATATTCCATACAACTTAGATGATTTTTTGTTAAAAAAATATTTATACTATATACTTGAATCAATTAAGTATTATCATAATATATCATTAGTTTTGTTAAAAATTAATTATCTATCTTTAGTTTTGTTGAAAATTAATTATGCATCCGCACACACAACATCCATTATTTGTTATTTATTTTTTTCATATTCTAAAAACTGTTTTTTTAAATAAAATAATTTAATTAATGTTTTGAAAAAACCTCTTAATTATTCAAGTATAAATTTTTATACTAATATTATAAATTATTTTGTTAATAAATATATATAAATCAAATAAGTTCGCTTAATATATAGATTCAATTTATATTAATATTTAAAAACAAAATATCTACTCGCATCATATCATACCAATCGTTAACTCTATGTATATAATGGTTCTCCCCACAGCGTAACGCGACCGACATCTCTTTTTTTCTTTTTTTTTGGGCTGGCCTTCTCTTTTTTGTTCAAGAGCTGGACTGTCATTCATTGTGGTAGCATCATTTTTTTCTCTTTTAACGATCGACTTCCTTTTTTTCCTTTTTTTTAAAGGAAAAATTAATAATTAGTTAAAAATTCAAATGTTTTATTTGATTATATATATATATATATATCGAAACTAATTTTATAGTAATTTTTATTTAAATTTATTCACTTCGATATGTTCCATGCAATTTAAGTGAGTTTTTATTTATTTATTTTATATGCTCTCGTCTATCGAGTAATATATATATATATATAGACTCTGTATAGTTTTGTCATATATAAATTCCGATGAGTGAGAGAGAGAACTAAAAATGTGTTTTAAATAATTTGACTTTTTTTTTAAAAAAATGATAATCGATTAAAAAAATAATTATGCTCTATTTTTTTTTTAGAAAATTAATAATTAGTTAAAAAATTCACAACTTTTATTTGATTTTGTATATATATAATCGAATTTACCGAAACTAATTTTATAGTAATTTTTATTTAAATCTATTTATTTCGATATATTCCATGCGATTTAGGTGTTTTTTTTATATTTATTTTATATTTTATTTTATATACTTTAAATTTGTCAAGTACGATATATATATTTTTTATTAAAAATTAATTATATCTCGCATATATAACATCAATTATTTGTTATTTATTTTTTTCATATTCTAAAATCTATATTTTTAAATAAAATAATTTAATTAATGTTTTGAAACAACCTCTTAATTATTCAAATGTAAATTTTTTATACTAATATTATAAATTATTTTGTTGATAAATAAATATAAATCAAATGAGTTCGCTTAATATACACATTCAATCTATATTAATTATTAAAAATAAAACTTTCTACTCATATTACATCATACGAATCGTTAACCCTATGTATGTAACGTTTGTCTTCCCGCAGCAGTAGCGCGGTATCCAACTAGTTCTAGACTATTAGTGATTTGTCGTACGATGGTATGAATGATTTTATATTTTTTCTAATGTTTTCTAATTTAAAGATGTGTTTAATAATTTATTTAAATAATTATAAAAACTAAGTTATATTATTCAATATAAAAATATTATTTAATAATTTAAATAATCTTATATTTAAAATTTAAATTCACTCAAAATTCATTTAATTAGGCAAGTTAAAGTTTTTTAACTTTTTTTTTTATTAATACACTCGCTTAAAAAAAATTTAAAACTTTTTAAATATAATTATATAGCTTTCATATATTTTTATAACCCTAACTATACAAACCGATCGAGAAACGATCTCTACTATTCTCATTGTCAAAACAAAGGAGATCTTCATTATCGATGCTTACATCCCATCATTATCAACAAACTACTAGTTAGAAGAAAACCAATTAAGCTTCTCAATTACAAAGGTGAATTTTGTTATGTTGTAAAGTGGCGTCAATAAACTTATTGAATTTGATACTAGTTTTTAGTGATCTTGTTAATGTCGTGTTGTCTTTGTTAATTTTAAGACCATTGATATCGTTTTGTCCTTGTTAAGAAGGCATCTTTTTGGAATAATGTGTTTCGGATGGTTTGTGATCTATGAAGCCGTTGAATTTTTTTATGGTGTTCCCTAAAAGAGGAATCTTGTTGTTCTTCTCTTTTTACCTCCCTTTGAAAGACTATGCCAAAGAACATGAAATATTAGTCTCTTATTATAAAACATACTTGTGCCACTCTCCAAACAATATGGAAATGATCCAACCAAAATGTTTCCTTTCATCAATAAGTTACAAATTGCATCCTATTTCCTAAAATAAGTCATATTGTTTTTATACTTAAAATTGTATAAGCAATTGTTAATGCTTGTTTAGTCTATTTTTGTGATGGCATCCCGCTGAAATGTCATGATTAGATGACTTAGTGCTTTTATTTTGTACAAAGTTAAGCATTTTTTTTCTATGATTCATATTCTTTGTAGTTTCTTCATGAACCTTTTTTTGTTAGTTTATTAGTGCTCGTAATGAAATGGTTATGTTGATATCTTGCTTGCATGCTTGAGTATTTAAATTTTCTCGTACCTTTGTCAATCGGATCTATCTTATGATGATTTTTATTTTGATTCCTTCTAGTCTCGTTATTAGTCAAATGTTTGCTCCATTAGGTGTTAAATCAAATTTTCGTTCTATCTTTCGCATTTGTCGATGGGCGCTTTAGATAAATCAGATATTAGATCATGTTTAGTTTTTACAATTGAACGGCATGTTTATGTGTTTAGACTCTTCTTATGCAGCCATCGAGGGCATATTTTACATTCTTGAAGTCTTATTCAACAATCACATTGTGTTTATATTAAATTTGGATACAAATACTTTCATGCATATAGTGGTAGTTGACACATGAACAACAAAAAACCGGAGCCAAATAGCAAAACAAACGCGTAAAAAGCAAAAGAAAACAACACCATGCCTTTATTACACACACCCCCTCACAATTATCGAAACCGTACAACCACCCTCTCAAGTCTATGAAAAAAATGTCCTAATAAAATATCCGAATCGTAATTTGAGATTTGTTAGGAAGTAATTTGAAGTAACCTCTCGTGAAATTAATATGTTGTTTAGTTGATGAACTTTTGTTCTATACTTTTTTGCTATCAATATCCTTTGATTATTTTTATTCTATACATGTTTGCATTGTTATATACCTTTCAGTTGCTTTTATGATTTTAGGACCTTAGTTTGATTATTTTTTTTAAACATATTAAGGTGGTTTAATCATTCAACTCAAACAATGCATCACTATTTCCATGAAATGTTACAAGCAATACTAAAGTTTGCAAGAGAAATGATTGTACTTACTACATTTTATGCAAATTTAAGTCAAGTTCAACATCATCGTTGACTTTGCCAAGTATTTCGTGTTTTATATTTAACTTTTTATTTCTAATTTTATTGATTTGTGTATTTTAAAATTAATTAATTTTTATTTATTTATTTGTAAGGTGTTATAGGAGCCCTTGATGAGACTTTAATTCGTGTTGTTATATCATCCGATCAACATGTCCTATATAGTAGGGAGAGAACGAGGAGATTGCTATCAAAATTTTCTTACAATATGTGATTTTGACATGATTTTTACTTTTGTTTGAGCCGGATAGGAAGGTGTAGCATATTATTCAAGAATATTAACATAAACTATACGTGACTCATCAAATAATTTTCTCATCCCTCCACTTAGTATGTTGTTTCTATTCTTATTAAATTCTTTTTAGAGAAAATTACCTAATTTTTTTTTTTTTACGTTATTACTAGTTGTATTATGTCAATAATTCTTACATTTTTCATGTAATTTATTAGATTAATATTTGATGATAAATAAATATTATCTTTGTGATATTGCATTTGTGCATGCTAGAGGATTTATAGCACCATATTGTAATAGACGATATTGGTTATCCGATTTTCGTTATGGTCATTATCCAAGATTTTTTCTTAAAAAAAAGAAGAAGAAGAAGCATTTAATCATGTACATACAAAATTAAGGAATGTTATTGAACGAGCATTTGGTGTTTTAAAAACAAGGTTTTCAATTTTAAAAACAATGGCTCCATTTCTATTTGCAATTCAGGTGAGATATTATGATTGCATGTGTTACAATACATAATTATCTTTGAAAAAAATAGTCATTGATAACTTTTTTGAATAATTTGATGACGATTATGTAATGCATCAAAAATCAAATGTTGCTGTAAATTTACAATTCACTCGGAAGAGGGATACAAGCACGAGCCGATCAAACATTTATGATTAATTTGCCAAACCGAATTGCAAATGAATTAATTAGTGCTTGAGATTTTATTTATTTTGTGCATGATATAGCAATTAATGCTATCTTATATCGTATTTAATTTTTTTTTAATAAATAATCATTTTTATTGGATTTTATTTATACACACAAATACATCTATGTATATATTTTTATTTGTATTAAAAAATATCATGGTACAATTATAAGGTTAAAATTATCATGTATATATAGTCTTAACATGTTCGGCTCCAGTATTTATCAACCAAGCTTATTATATTTAGTATTTAATTTTCACTAAATACCAAACGAGTTTATTAGCAATATATTCAGTACTTAATAGATTTAGTAATTAATTTTTAGTTTTATCAAACCCCACCTTGGTAGGAATGGTAACGGTGGATACTCGATTTATTAATTCAATTTTTTTTATCATATTTATAAAAAGAATACTCTATCATTTATCTACTAAACAATCATCATAAAAATCTTTATTGCACTTAGACTTTGTCCACATTAATTAACTCGCTCATTTAGTATCCATTTAATACTTCTAAAAATAATTTGTCAAAAATATTTCATTCCAATCTCTCGTAGTTTTTAGTAAAGTTTTTTATCCTTAAAATTAAATTTTTTTCTACTTGTTGATCATTCATATTATAATTTTCTTTTGGTTCTTATCGTTTTTTAAAAATATTTTGGTCCTTAATTTTTAAAATTTATGTAATTAAATCTCTCGCATGTTTAAAAAAAATAAAATTAAAATAATTAGTTGGTATTAATAGGATAAGTAGTTGATACTTATATCCCGGAATCATATTAGTGAGTATGTATTCTTACTTTTACTCATTCTAATACCCATTAAATGTTTTTAATAAACATTTATTGAATCGGATAAAACAGATACTTATTTTATATCTAGCCATTGCCATCTCAAAGCTTAAGAGGACCGTTCATTGAGATGTGGTTTTTCTGCCTGTGATGTTTGTCTTCAAGGAGAGAGGTCTCTTTCTAGCTTTTTGGTTGATTTTTGTAATATTTGATTGATTTTAGTCCTTTGGTGTATACTAATATATATTTGCATTTGCACAAAAAATTTGGTCAAAATTTATATTGTATGGAAAAAATCAGTCCATGTAATTTATTTGGACTAAATAGCATTAACTTTTAATGTGATAACCAATTATAAATTTGGACATGTTTAAGAAATAAAAAAAAAATACTAATTTCTTTTCAAAAAATAAAAATTTTCAAAATGCTAATATTTTTTAAATAAAATTTCAAAATTTTTGACATGTAAGAATTTTCAAAAGTACTCAGTCATTAAAATGTTTTAAAACGTATAAAAAATAAAAAATACTTTTAATAAAAAGAAAATACACGGGCCAGAAAATTAAAAACATCCAAAATAACTCCCATAGACCAACCCAACTTCGAAAAAAGCTCAACACTGGAATTTTGTAGGAATGAAAGCATGGGAAGGAAAGAAAAGAATAAAAAATAAGGAAAAGAGAGCACGAAATCCTTGATTACGTAATTTGCTAGAATGGTTGACATGTCTGCAGTCAATATGACTTGTCAACATTCACTCACTTCGCCCATTTCCTAGTACTACAAGTACTCGAATTTCCACGTGCGCTGACTAAACACAACTTCTGGACTCCGATGTTTTCATTTTCACTTACCTCTTGTTTGGATAGAGGAAAGAGAGTTATGATGGAAGTAAAGGTTATTGACTTATTGGTGTTTAGTCACCGTCAAGTATCCAAAAATATATGATTGATAGTGACAACATTGCAGTTTTCTTATTGGTGGACTTTGCTAGGTTGATTGAAAAAAAAAAGGGCATAATTAAGGTGATGAGCTCTCTTGTTAATTCGTTTTCTTTTCCTCAAATTAGCATTGTTTAATTGGTTAGTTTGTGCTCTCAAAGATTAGGAACAAAACTAAAACAATTGGGATGTTCACTCCTCATTACTGTTCATTTTCTGTAATTTTATATTTTTGTGTTTTTTTTTTTTTTTATCTTCGTAGTCAATGATATGAAAATTATATAGCTTTTTACATTTTGATCTTTGATGTTTTTAAATTTTTTGTTTCGATGCATATTTTTATTTATTGATATATTTTGATCCTCGGGTATAGAGAGGAGTAAGAAAAGAAGAGCGAGAGAGAGAGTATCGGCTAACTTTATTTAAGCCACTTTGGTCGGCGAAACTTTATTAGACTTTTTATTTTTGAGAAATGAGTTTATATATAGTGGTTTTAAGCCATGAAATAATTGAAGGATGTAGATCGACACCGAAAAAAAAAATTTTGATTTGATTATTTTATTTTATTTTAATATGCATTAAAATAAATTTTAAAGTTTTAAAAGTGTTTATTGACTTTATTTCGATTACTTAGAGGTGTTTGGGAAAAAAATAATGTTGGAATTGAGTTTCTTAGGATCTGAAAATTGATTTGTGATTTTTCAATGAAACTTTCGTCGAGCTTGAGTTTGTCAAAAGCTACAAGTTTTTTATTTTTGGGCTAGCCAACAGTCTTGGCGCACAAGCCGAGTAGCCTTAGCTCGGATCGTAGGCTCGCACACGTAAGCTCGCACATGTAAGCCCAACTACGTTGGTCCGGGCCGAGCCGGTTGCACATGCCCGGCCTTTTTTTCTTTTTCCTTCAAATAATTTATCTTTATATTTTTTATCATGAAATTAGGTATGAAAATATTAAAAATAATTCGTTATTTTTTTTTTAATTTTATGTACGAGTTTGAAGTAATAGGATATATATGATATTTTTTAAGATATACATATTACTCTTATTGTTTAAAATTTATTTCTTAAATTATTTATTTCTTATTAAAATTCTCATCAAATTAACTTTTTAATTTTTTGATATAATTTTATTTGTTAATAAATTTAGTTTTTTATAAATGAATTTTGAAATAAAATTTTAGAATGTGATCGTTTTATTTTTTAAAATATATTATGATAATTTATACGATTGATTATTATTATAATTTCTAAATGAGAGTAGCGTAATTGTATATATAAATTCTAATGAAAGAGTAAAAGTGTGTTGTAGATAATTTAACTTAATTTTTTTAAAAAATAATAAATAATCAATTAAAAAAATAATTTGACTCAATTTTTTTAAAATAATTTAATAATTAGTTAAAAAAATTCACAAGTTTTATTTTATATATATATATAATTAGAATTTATTGAAATTAATTTTTTAGTAGTTTTTTTTTTAATTCTATTCACTTCAATATTTCATGCGATTTAGGTGAATTTTTTTTGTATTTATTTATTTATTCTATATATTCTGAATTTGCTAAGTTTATATATATATATATATATAGTTTTGTTAGAAATTAATTATATATCTCGCACGGATAACACCAATTATTTGTTATTTATTTTTTTATCTTTTAAAATTTGTATTTTTAAGTAAAATAATTTAATTAATCTTTTGAAAGAACCTTCAATTATTCAAATATAAATTTTTATGCTAATATTATTAATTATTTTGTTAATAAATATACATATAAATCAAACAATTTCGCTCAATATATAGATTCGATTTATGTTAATAACTAGAAACAAAACCTTTTATGCACATCACATCATATGAATCGTTAACCTTATGTATATAACGTACTGTCCGACCGTAGCATTGTGCTAGTATTTAACTAGTTCGATCTATTTTTATTAGTCACTTTTAAGGTAGAAAATTGAAAGATGTTAGAAAGATGCCAAATTAGCTGTCTTCGAATTTCCATCTTCTGTAACAGTGATTGGTTTTGCTTCTCTGAATGTGTAGAAAGAAATTAATTACTGTAGTTAACACCGAAGTTTTAGTAAAGACTTTGTTCTTAGGACCACCTTCGACCTTTGTGGTTCCAAGAAGTCTATGTTTGCTTACCATGTATAATGATTTGTTTTAAAATGGTGGGATATGAATCTGCAGATATATGACATTGGAAGGAAGATATGGACAACAAAAGGAGAAGATCTGGAGGCAGCCAAGAAGGATTTCATTGACTGCCTGAAGTTGTTGGAAGGAGAACTTGGAGACAAGCCTTACTTTGGAGGCGATACCATTGGCTACGTTGATGTAGCACTTGTTCCTTTCTATTGTTGGTTTTATGCTTATGAGACTATCGGCAACTTCAACATAGAGGCCGAGTGTCCTAAGCTGATTGCTTACTGTAAGAGATGCTTGCAAAAAGAGAGTGTATCCAAGTCTCTTCAAGATCCACAGAAAGTCTATGATTTCATTGTGATGCTGAGGAAGAACTTGGGGGTTGATTAATGTGCATCCATAGCCAAGCAAGCGTGATTTCCTGTTAACAGTTGTTGTACTTGTGTTCTGTCTGATTTATGTTTTCAATAAGGAGGGCACTATTTACTTGTGCCTGTACTGTGTCTTATAGTTTGAGAGGGCACTATTTAATTGTGCCTGTACCGTGTCTTATAGTTTGAGAGGGCACTTAATTGTGATCGACTTAGGTTGTGGTTTTTTCTTCCTGTACGTCTGATGTTTGTTTGCCAGACAGGTCTCTTTGTAGCCCCTTAGTTTCTTCTTGTAACAGGTTGTGATAATCGATAAATAGACATTTATAATGAAGTTTGTGTCCAAATCTAACTAGCTGAGTAGAATAGAACTTTCCGCATTTGTTTGTTCGTCTGTTTTTTTTTTTTTTTAACCTTTTCCTCCAATCTGCATTCATGATCTTAGGTCCTACAAATGAGCTGTTGGCTGTGACCTATCGTGCCTTGTATATTTTGCTAGAACGTTTTGAGCTTGCACTTTAAGGCACTGCAGAGATTAGGGCAAACGGTCTTTTTCCAAATTTCATGTTATTGTTGGGAACTCATTTTTTACCTAAAATCTTTGGATTTTAGCCATCTATCCTCCTCTTCCTTTCAAAAAGTTTTGCAAGTTGATTATAAAAGAAGGGAAAAACGAGCCATTTGGAGTCTATATAGGTAAGTAAAAGTTTAACTTCTAATTAAAAATAGATGCATAGCAAAAACATTTGAGTTTGTGTGAAGAATAGAAATTCTGTAATAACTTTCTCTTTCTTCTTTTGCATGAAGGGAAATGTTTTATTCTTTGAGGGGACCTATCCCATAAATTAGTGGGCAAAAGGCTTTTGCACCAGGACTTGAGCACTTCCCAGAAGCTACAACCATGTACAACTCGAATAAAAAATAAAAATAAAAAAGCCTCAATTTAATCCTAAGCCTACGTACTCGCTATCAATTGAATCTTAAATCTATAAATTTTATCACTTAGGTCTTTTTGTTGATGCTCGTCAACGTTATTTTTTAAATAATCACTTTAAATAAAAAAAATGTTAATGTTGAATAACCTTTTCGTCAAACTTTCTTCGAAATGACATCATTTTAGGACATAAAATATGCAGATTAGAGTTAAAGTATCAACAGAAATTGACAAAAGCACACACAAGCGTGAAATGCAAGAAATGTTTGAGACCGAAGTGATAAAAGTTATATATTTGGGATGCAATTGAGAATTAACATATACGTTTAAGACTGAGTTGAGATTTTGCCAAAAAAACAACAATGTAGTACGTGGCAGCCCAGAAGCCGTTCAATCAATGATAGTCAGCAGATCACCACGTGGATCTGTTTAACGTTGACTATGCTAGATCTGTTGGACATTAGGGAAAGTCTTGCACATGCGGCCCCACCCTTGCCCTTGGACGATTGTGGTTTGAAAGCATTCTATCCCAACAAAAATATCATATTTTCTCTTTGGTCCTTTTTAAGTTTTCTCGTTTTGAAATTCATCCTTATATTTTTAAATGTTAACACTCCTTTCTAAGGAAATCCTAACCCCAATCTTGCGTAGGAGATAAATATGATGTGAAATTGGTAGTGGTATCGGCTATGACAAAATTACAATTATTCAATTTTTTTGGTTTTTGAATAAAAAATAGTTCAAAGATCAAAGAAGCTACCATAATGATGAACATAAGCGTGAATATGGGGTGAATGGTTGCATGGTTCTTTTATTTTTTTTATTTCGTCATTATCTATCGTGTTTTTCTATTTATTTTTGTTTTAAATTCATTTTTTATGTTTGATCTTTATTTTAATCGTGTCCTTTTCTTAAGTTTTTCTTTCGACGTAAACTCGATTTTTGAAAAAACTCACTTGTGCATAATTTTAGAATTTAAAGTTAGTTCCAACACTATTGAGGTTGGAAATGGTGAGGAGCTCGACCTATCATGGATCTAAAATTCTAATCAAGAAATCACTTCCTTTGTTTGGAATAGAAATTTGCAATTTTATTATTTCTAAAGTGTAAGACCTAAGGTATATGAATTGCAACAAAGTTTAGAAGAAATGATTTGAGTTTCTTCTCCATTAAAGATACTCTTCAAACCTAGTTTTCGACTTCCTCTCCATGGCTTTGAATTTCCAAATTTTCTCTTAGTTTCTTCAATTGTGCTCCGTTTTTGAAATGGTCGTAAATAAAATTTATGACGAAGCATAAATTACATAAAACCGTAACCGAGCAAAAATAAAAAAAGGCAACTCGCTTAAACTAGAATACCCGATGCTAGATCCAAGATTCATGTTTTTTTTTGCTTTGCCATTTTTCTAGCTTCTTTTCGCCCTTTTCGACTCGACTTCTCATCGGGCCCCGCCTCTATGACAGAATGAAACCCAAACTATCCATTTTCCTAGTTAAAAAAGGAAAACATTTTTTTCTCACGAGCTATTTCGCTCTTGCGTTACTTACCTTTTTCTCTATATATTTTTTAAAAAACTTTCTCTATCTTCTTTTTATTTAAAATATATTAGATAATTTTTAATTATTTTTATCAATTATTATTAATTATTTAATTATTTTTTCTCTATTTTTACTAATATTTGATTTTTTGATTTATAGATACATTAAATATTCTTAAAAACCATTTTTATACCTTAAAATTCTTTTTATAATAAATATTTCAATAATTTATCTCTATTTGTTTTACTATTATCTCAAACACTACCTAAACTATACTTAAATGATTGAAAATGACTATTACAAGACTATAATTTTTTGTAAAAAAATTAAAATTAATTAATTCATCAATAAATACATTATTTTTTCAACACTATTCATTTGCAATTAAATTAATAATTTATAATTTTAATCAATTGTAAAATTTTGTTGGTAATTGTAGTGAATAATTAGTTACAAATTATTCCAACATTAATCTTTTGAGACCAAATGAATAATTATCTATAAATGATAACTAATAATTTATAAAATTATTTTTCAGACTAAATTATCAGTTCAATTTCTAAAAAAAAAAACAATTCTTAATTGAGTTACCAAAATAATAATGCTAGGATACTTAAAATCATTGTTTTTACTAAATGTGAATATTGACTTAATTTTATCCCAAGTAATTTTGATGAATTAGTTTGATGATTAAAAAGTACATGTTTTTTTTTAATTATAATTTTAGTGTTAGTATTTAAGAAAATTTATTAAATTTTTTTAAATGTATCTTATACTATGGTGATATTGGTGAAAAAGTGATGATCATAACATAAATAGAAAGAAGAATACCATACCTGTCAGGTTGTTTTCCGATAGGTCAAGATGCCATAGCTGGGTCAGATTTCCAATAGCAGAGGGAATTGGACCAGTTAGCCCACTCGTTTGCAGGTTTAATAACTCCAAACTAAGAAGATCGCTGATGGACGATAACATTTCTACATCTGCAACATAAAATTTATATTTAATCCTCTACATTTTTGTAGAAGTTAAAAATAAAATAAAATAAAATCGTGCTTTTCTTTTTGGTTCTTTTGGGGGTGAGGCTAAAGAGCAGAACTTAAAATCATGTCCTTCTACCCTTCTACTTTGTGAAGTGAGTGTCCTGAATACTTGGCGATAGAAAGGCTAAAATATCTCAATTTGGTAACATTT